GTGACTCCGGCGTTTGCTGCACGTCAGGGAAGGTACCGGTACCACTCCCCCAACGCGAGAGCTCCGCGATGCCGGGGGTCGGCCTGCAGCTCGCGGGGGCCCTGCTCCGCTGAATGCGCCGGGGGCGGCAATAGCTTCACACAACTGAGGGCATTTCATTGTTGTCCAGTGCTTTGCTTTGAGTTACAAAAAGACCAATTATTTTCTTTCTTACAGATTGGCTGCCCACCCTTGTAGTGCTAAAGGTTTCTTGTCCACTCATGCAGTGTTGCCTATTGAGGGGGACTTTAATTGTGAGCAAAGAATGTTTTTTTTTCCAAAGGGGGGCGGGGGGGGCGATAGGTTGGTGTCAGGATTCATGCATTCCCTAGTGTGTTCTGTTTGGAGGGTTGTCTCTTATTATGAGGCTAAAGCTGGCCCTAGACATAATAAACATGATGACCCATAGAATAATTAGGTACATTTTCTGAGCAAGAAACTTTGCTGCAAGTTTTAATTTATTTGCTTTCCAAAGCTCTGGACCCCTCCCAGAGTATCCAGTGTTTGGTTGTTGGTATTAAGGAAGTTGTATTTTTGTTTTATGATTTCATGATATAAAAATTGCAGGGAGGAGAATTTGGATGAAATATGTTAATATAAACTGCACAGCTGAACTGTACCTCTTTCTTACTTTGTATTGTTAAGGAACAATGATGGATCAGAATGAATGGAGATATACAGCTGCCTGCAGTAGTTCAAATCCTTTGTTGATTTTACCAAAAGGTACAGTTTTTAAACAAATTGAAACTTTAGAGTCCAGCCAGTTGCTTTCCTGCCGTGCAATCCTTTCCCACTCACAAGATGGTCAGAACCTCAATATCTTTTAAATACATTGGAAGAAATGAAAAATGGGGGGGGAGCCAGTGTTGGCATTGAAATTGGTGATAAAAGTTCTATCAATTTATTCTACACTTCAATTCATTTTAACCTGGGTCCCTCCAAATTTTGTGTGTGACATTTTAAGATGTACAAAAAAAATCCTCATGGTCAGAGATGTTTTGAAATCAAAAACTATAAAACCCCAAGTCACATTTACATAACAGCTTAATGTTGTAACAATGAATGAGGGTTTACTCCCTGATCAGCAGAACAGTGCTTTTAGTTGGGAGTCTACATATGGATTTAGACACCTAATTATTCTTCTCACTGTGATGCTGACAGAGGTACTATCCTACAATCCTTCTGTAAGGGGTTTCTGGATAACAAGGGCATTCTTTGCTATTCAAAGTAAATTGAGATGAGGCCAGCTGTAAAAATCAGATACTCATGGGGATTTGGATTCAGTATAGCCAAAAAAGAAACCTGAACTGGGCCCATTTTTGCAGCATGAAAACTGTCAAGCCCTGAAGAACTCCATGCTTTCAGGGAACCAATGATTTCATAGAAGGCCTTTATTTATTTAAGATAAATGAAAGGAAACCTTTTTGTAATTCAGTAAATGCAAGATTATTTACTCCTAAAAATGAGCCATAAAGAACTCAAAGTGCCTCACAGATGGGGAAAGCGAGGGAGGTACAAAGGACTCTCAGGCTGATGCTTTATTTTGTTATTGCCTGTGACCTATCCATGACTTGTGCTAAAAATACCCTTGACTAAATCATAGCCTGAATAATAATCATCAATGAAACTCACTCATTTGTAGTGCAGAGATTGCCCTTGGGGCTTATGCAAGATCTACATTCTCCACCCTGTGGAACAAAGAGCGGGATGACTTTATCTCCTAGAAATAGAGCAGAGCAGAAGCCACACAAGTAAAAGATTGTAGCGGGTACAGTTCAAACTATATTGGTACCAAGTTCTCACTGGAAATTCCAACAGATGGTATATTTGTGATGCTGTTTATGAAAAATTTAATGTCTCATCTCCCCTTTCTCATGGGGTGGGGGAAGAGGGGTTGAGATGCTAAACAAGTAAAGAATCCGGCTAAAGATTCTCCATATTTTACTATACCAAAATTCCAGAGGAGGAGTGTCATACCCAATAATGTGCAATATAAAGTCTAGCTGCTAACAATAAAAAAAAATTAATGTGTTGTTTTGATTAAAATGAAAACCCTTTACTGGAGCACTAAATACACATTTGGGGATATCCAGGAAGCCAGCATTTTGTCATCAGATGAATCTCTTTATTAATTCCCTCCCAAAACTGTTTACATGGTATGGAAAGGTTGAGAACTACTGGGGTGGGGGCTTAAAGGTGCTAAATTAAATAGGCCTTATAGGGTCTTTTGTAACTCCATACAATTAACAGGAAATGAAGCATTCATTGACCGTCACTCTTGTGTCTTGAGTCTCTGCCCCATATCTAGTCATGGGGATGCAGACAGGTAAGCAACTCCCCCGAAGATCACAGGGGGAGAATTTGCATGTGAGTGAGTTTACCAGCTCTTTGATTCTCTCTGCCTTCTCCCATGCAGTCCACTACATTTGAAACCCATTCTCCCTAACCCAATATGATTTCTTCCCTCCAGACCCTGCTTCAAGCTCTTCCTACATAAGCTTCTAGTCTCTCCTCAGCGAGGAGTTAGCAAGCCAGATGCTGTAAACTCTTCTTTTTAAAAAACAGTAATGTTCACAAGACACGTGCAGAACTTCAGTACTCAAAACACATTGATTTCTGTCCCATCCTCATCTCCTTGCATTATTTCTTTGTGTATAGTCTGTAAATTCTTCAGGGCAAGAACCTAGCGCAATGTTGGTATTTTATAAATATTATAATAATATCAACTGTTCCACCATTATTGCAGCCCAAGAAGAGATGGGGCAACAGGCCCTTTGGACATTCTCTGAAGCTCTGGGACAGTCAGAGTTGGATGATACCCCCTACATACTGGGCCATCCCTAGGTGGGGTGCGGGCAGGGCCATCCTTAGGATTTATGGTGCCCTAGGTGGGATTATTAAACTGGTGCCCCCATGCCTGACTTGCTCTTAGCAACACAAACACAAGCTTACAGTATTGGAAAACTTGCCACATGCACTTTATTAAAAACAGTTTAACTTAATTAAGCACACTGTAATGCTGGTGGACTATCACTAAAGAAGTGGCGCTATAGAAAAAAAATCTGATTTATTGACAGAATGAAGCAAATAATATAATATAGCCGTGAGTCTGTGACTTTGAGCTAGTGTGAAGGCGCTCCGCCCTGACTGAGACACAGTAGAGTTGGAAACCCAGGTCATTTTTACAAAGCCACTTTTTAGTTTTAAATGTATAGTGGTCATCAGTCTTAATGTTAGTTACTTATCCAGTTTAATAAGCTGGGTTTCCAAGCAGTGGGAAAATAGACCCCTAGTTTTACTCCTAGGTAAAGCACAAAGTGACCAGAAGTGCCTTATTTTTGTTTGGAAAGACATACATGATAAATCACTGCCTCTAAAGTTCCATCAGAATCTTAGTACAACATATGGTCACTCTCTATAGGAGCATATTACAGTTGTTGGAGGGCTCTATTCAGCAGTAACAGGGCTATAGGAAAGCCAGTCA